GAAGCATATCCAAAACACTTCTTAGAAGCAAGGATGGCAAGACTTCATCTCAAGTACTTTGGACCTGCTATCAGGAGAAACCAGTCCCCAGGGAAAGACATGGTGCTTGGTAAAGTAGAGGGGAAGTGGAAAAGAGGAAGACCTACAAGATGTATTGACAAAGTGGCTGCAACAGTGAACTCAAACACAGGGTGGTACCCAATTGGATGGTGTTGCATTTTGTTGTACATTGGGTCTCTACGAGTCCAAACAACTCAATCGTACCATAAGAAAAATGCATGAACGTATTGCCCATAATTAAACCTCAACCCTAACTCCTCTTATTTAACCTATCTCAAGATTATCTTGTCATATTTCTTTGAGTAGCAGCCATTTTAAGGTTTAGAGATGGCATTAACCATACAAATGTGTGCACATTTAACCCAATAATCGTTTTGAAAAGCCATTAGGATCCAGTTGAGTCAGAGTTAACTCGGTGCTAGTGGGCTTTTGTTTTGTTTTTTAGATTTTGTATGTTTTATCTGTATAGGTACTGATTTTCATATGTAAGATTCCAGCTAGGCTTAGATAGGGTATTTGAAACTGTCATAGGTGTTAACGTGATTACAATGTTGTTTATTTTCCAGTCAATTAACAAACCTACTGAGTTTCAATTGTGTGACTGAGACTGTCCTATTTTGTGGACATAAATGAGCGAACAAGACTAACATACTTTTGTTAAATTGCTTGCTTTCTACTGAGTAAAGCAGTGCAGTTGAAGTTATGAGAAGTGCTGTCATGTAAGCATATGCTGGAGTATAATTGCAACTTCATACTTAGGTAAAAGTTTTCTCTCAATCTTTGTTTTTAGCTTTAAAAATTGAGATGACTATTTTTTCTGTGGTCATGGGTTGAAATTTTTTAATAACCTGTGTTTTGATATGTATTTAAATGTCACAGTCTGGATATAATGATTTTTCTGGAAGCAGAGACATATGTGAAGGCTTCAAGTTTCTGATTTCTTTACTCGTTCTTTCTGGATTTCATTAAAAAAGGTATAAATGAGCAATAAAACAACCTGGTTGAGATGTAATTGAATATATTACTGCTTTTGTTTGTTTTTAAAGGTCATATATCATGGTTAAAAATAATCATGGAAAAATGGCTGTGCAAAATTCATGTTAAGAATACATGCCGGGAGAATATAGATGATTTTGAATCTTAAAAGTCCCAAATAATATATATTGAAATTGAATAATGTAAATTAACTATGCATTATTCCACTTAAAATTTAAATATTTTTTCCTTTTCTTTGAATATGTATCATGTTCTCAGTGTGTTTAAAACCTTATGATGATTTCATCTGAAATTTTTCCTACAGCAAAATTCATAAATAATAAATATTATCTTATAAATCCATATTTTAGTTTAGCTAGAGCTCAGAATAAGTTACTTCCTCAGGGAATGCAATATTCAATATAAAATTAGATGATGAGGCAGAGACTCCAAGGAATTAAATTGTGAAAACAATCTTGGTATTGTACATGCTAATATAAATCTGTTATTCCCTTTCCGCATCTATCACAACACATTTTAAATTGTGGCTGATTGTGTATGCAAATAACTGTCTTATTAGAAATTGCGGCTGTATGTACTAATGTCTCCCTGGATTTCTTGGGTGTTTGCTATCTAACCATCAAAGCAATAGAAATAAATGATGATTACTGCAAGTCTTTGAAGAACAAAGAGAAGTCAGAACACTTTAGAAGGTTCTAGATATCTGAGGCATTGACAGGGTGTGCCATACAGATGAGTGGGGAATCTCTTCAGATCATTTAAAATAGCTTCAGAGTGTTTTTCTTAGTAATGTAAAATATTTTCCACATTCCTTTGTGTGTTGAAGCTAGTTAAATGCAAGTGATTTGTATATGCATTTTCTATCATATTTTTTGTTTCATCATTTGGTAAGACGGTGTTTTGCTTAAAGATTATAACATAATACTTTTAAAGACCAAAATAAGTTATTTTCTGGCAAAAATAGCTATTAGCATTCATTACATAATTAGAAGCAGTATTTAAAAGCAGCTCTTTAATGTGCCTTCTTGGTTGAAATTCTTATAAAATTATTATATACACAGATTACTATATATATAAAATGTGTCTGTTCAGAGAAGTTAGGTCCTAATAAAAATTTAGGTCCTTTAACCTTTATTTCTGAAATTTAATTTATTCAAAGTATATTTTAATATAGTTATATATTTTACTTTGCCAAAAAGATACTACTTATTAATCTCTCCCTTATGTTCTACAGTTAATGAATATATGAATGAAATATTGGCCTCTAAAGTTTTATTCCTGTTGTGATATTAGTTTAAATAACCAGGAAGGAATTGTGGGAAGCATAGTGAGAGACCAATTCGGCAGATAACTTTAATAATTTTCTATTAAAAACTGTAGGCACATTTCAGAAAGTCAGTGTACAAAACTCAACTGTAGAGGGAATGATGTCTTGTGTGTTTGTTTATTTCACTTAACACCTTTATTAAAATGTAGTGATACCTTTCTTAGTCCCATAAAATCAAGATTAAAATAACTTGATTCCTTTTCACAACTAATAAATGCAAAACAGTATGCAAATAGAATTGATATATGAATAAATTATAATGTCTATTGGCATTTTTTGTTGCTTGCTGTGACAGAATTATTTTTAATACTCTGAGTTGTAACAAGTGAGATTATGGAAATTCAGTATGCAACTTGGTTTCATGTCTAAAATTTTAAGAATGTAGTATTTTAGAAATAATAACTAGATTTTAAAACACAAATATTTAATTTATTTGGCTTCCTGTTTTGTTTTGTTCATTCTCAGATATTAACATATCATTATTAAATCTGAAGATTACTATGATTAGAAAAAAATGTATGGCCTTACTTGCTACCATTAGGTAAGTTTCCATTCATAGCAACCCTCTAGGACAGAGTAGAACTGCCTCTGTGGGCTTCTAATACTATAACTCTTTATGGAGTAGAAAGTTCTGTCTTTATCCCAGAGAGCAGCTGATTGTTTCAAACTGCTGACCTTCCAGTTAGCAGCCCAGCCCATAACAATTACTTTACCAACTCCATATAGAGTGACGGAAAGTCGGAATCCACTCGATGCCAGTGGGTTTGGCATTTTGGGCAGAGTGCTATAGACTCTGTTTTTAACACATTATTTTCAGAGCTACTCTAGGGGTTATTATCAGTGAGTACATATACACACATAGTTTTTCTAAGTTATCCAAGTAGCAACTTATTTACATTCTCTCTTTTTTTAAAAAATTAAATATTTTCATTGTGGACTCTTACATCACTTATCACAATCCATACATTAATCCATTGTGTCAAGTAAAATTTGCACGTATAGTGCCATCATCATTTTCAAAGCATTTTCTTTTTACTTGAGCCCTTAATATCAGCCTCTCTTGTTTTGCCCCTGCCCTCCCTCATGAACCTTGATAAGTTATGGATTATTATTTTCATGTCTTACATCGTGCTCTGTCACCCTTTACCCACTTTTCTGTTATTGGTCCCCCTGGGAGGGGGTTATATGTTGATCCTTGTAATGGACTCCCTCCTGTCCCCCGACTTTTCCCCGAATCCTCCTGGTATCTCTATTCATTGCAAGAAGCAAATAGCTGTCTTATTAGAAATCGTGGCTGCATGTGCTAATGTCTCCCTGGCCCTGAGTTCTTTAATGCTTCCTTCGCCCCATTATCGTGACCTCAGTTCTACCTTACAAATCAGATTAGACCAGAACATGCACACTGCTACAGATAAGAGCCCAAAACACAGGGAATCCAGGATAGATAAACCCCTCAGGGCCAACAATGAGAATATTTACATTCTCTTGATTGAAGCTAGTCATAGCCCACAATTACCTGTTGGAATTGGGGTGGGAGAAATAGTCTTACCTGTGCAAGGAATAAATTTATTTGAATTTTTGTGAGGAACTTATGTAGAAACTATTGATTTTGTATATGTTTTAATGTGCATATTTTCAAGAAGAGCAATGTTTTTTTTCATGAATCATGGAATTTGAAGGATATGTTTAGCACTGAATCTAACTACATATAATATAATGAGCATAGTACAGTTGACCTTTGAACAACATGGGTTTGAACTGATTGGGTTCACTTTTATTCGGATTATCTAAAATGTCTTTTGAGAAATGCCATTTTATCTCATATTGAAAATGTAACTTTTGTTGGTTACAGTATACATTACATACAAGAGGGCTACACAATGTTCACAGGAAAATTCCATGATCTTTTAATATCATTTCCCATGCACTTTTTGAAGCCCTCTCATATGTTATGTAAAATATGTGTGAATCCACATGTTCATGTCCATGTTATCAATAAACTTCTTGTCTATAGTAAAGCTATTAGTAGTGATGTTTAGGGGCGTCAAAAATTTGAGGTGCAGTGGGTCAGCACACTTAAGCCTTGAATTATTCAAGGATCAAACACAGTATAGTAGTAAATTATACTTTACTGTTAACAAAAGGGGTAGATCTATAACTCACATTCATATACCTTGATAATATATATTATGCATTTTAAAATAATGGAAACTACTGGGGATTCAAACTTTAACTTTTCTTTTCTGTATAGGATAGTAGATATTTGGAAAGAAACACACTGCTAAAAACACCTCTGTAGCCTCAGTTCATCTGAATAAATGTGATTTCACCTTATCGATAATGTTTCCTAACAGTATGGTTTAATTGAGTATTATTAGTACTTGATAAGATGAATGTTACTAAGAACAAATGCTGTGGAAATTTAATTACCAGCAATTATTTATCCCTGATGAGTTATTTGAAATTTATAACCTTCACTATAGTTCATGGGAATAAATCAATGGCATTTTTAACCCTTTCTTCACAAATTTATTTTATGGAATGAATTATTTCTGAAGCTCATAAATAGTCCTTTAGCTCTTAAAAATCTCATTGTGATTATTTTCTTTCTTTTCAGAAGGTATTTTGGAGATCAAAGATGGGTAGAAAAGATGCCTCTACTATAAAACTTCCTGTGGATCAGTACAGAAAGCAAATTGGTAAGCAGAGAATTCCCTCTAATATATTCCTGTGAATTAAGATAAAGAAAAACACAATTATGTATGATACTAAGAAAATAAGTACTTATGATACACAGAAATAAATGAATAAAGAACTTTATAGTTTTTAAAATAATATTTTATATTGTTTTAGGTGAAAGTTTACACAGCAAACTTGCCTTCCTTTTAACAATTGAGTTAGTTAGTTTATTGTGCCAACCTGGCCGATAAATACATATGGGATTAATTGAAGGGCAGAGGACTAAATGGCTTGGTGAGCCTCACCTTTAGAGTTCTCGGGTCTCTTGCTTTTGATGGTTGGACCAGGGTGCAGCTCCCTTAGCCAGTCCCCTGCTTCAGCAAGGCCTTAGCCAGTTCCCTGCTTCAGCAAGGCTGACTTCCTGCAAGACATCCCCAAGGAGAAGCCACATGGACTTACCCTGATGCAGCCCTGGGTGCTGGAGCAGCTGTGTGGAGACCCCTGCCAGCGCTGAGATGCTTACAAGTTCACTGACTGGGCTTTCCTCCTGCAGTCGGCGTCATTGCATCTGCTTTGTGAGATGCAGGACTCTGGATTGGTGTTGGACATATGGGTTAATGGGTTAATGTTGAACTTGTGGGCTTAGGCAGCACTGGGTTGGGATGTTTTCTTGATGCTCACTTAACATTTATATTAAACTCTCTCTTATATATGAGTCTCTGTGGATTTGTTTCTCCAAAGTACCCAGACTAACACATATTTTTTTCCCCAAAGTGCTCCATGCCCTTGGTTATAATACATATTATATGTGTCAGCATTCTCATTAGTTTCATTCCGTTTCCATCTAGCTTGCATCCCTTCCCCTTCTTGCTTTTTTCTATGGGCTTTTGGGTAAGTGTTGACTGTTTGGTCTCACATATTTAATGTGAGAGTTCACTGTTTAAAGGAGCACATAACTACCGCCATATAGTATATTTTCTAAGCCAACCTGTCATTGGGATGAAAGGTGACCTGCAGAGTAGTTTCAATTTTACATTCAAAGAGAATTTATCTTAGGGCGATAATCTCTAGTCTTAGGGTTCCTCTAGTCTCTCTTGAGTTTTGCTTTTTTCTTCCATTCTATCTAGAACCTTTTGTTGTGTCCCTGGGCACCGTCACCTCAGTATAAAAGAGGTTGTGTGATTCATGTGGGCTAATAGTTCATTGAACTGGTTTCTCATTTTTAGCCTTTGATTGCTTCCTTCTCTTTTGCTCCATATGGATGGAAAAAAAAATAGTTGTATAAATACAGTCTCCTGATTATTAATGAAGAAATACAGTTCATGTGATTTTTTAAAGCCTTAGTAATTTTTAATTATTTAATTCCAAACTAAATTTTATTATTTTTCTTATTAAGCCTGCTTTTTTGTACTCAATATTCTTAATACCATCATTTAATAAATTATTTATGCACATAAACACTTTTAAGGGTTTTTTTTTACTCTCAGTGGCAATAATTGACCATCATGGCAATAATTTAATAATCTCAAATTTATTTATTAAAATATATGAACTAACAGAACATACTTCCTTTTAAATGGGGAGTTGAGCCTAGAAAAGTAAAAAAACTATCCAGAGATCATAAGTGAAGGCTTGGAGGAGATTGAATGCATGGCTTTGGGGATGATGAGGAGATTCATACAGCTAGGGCTCTTGAACAGCTTCTATTTTAATAAAGTGGGGATGGGAAAAAATCTACTCAGTGACCTTGGCGACATACCAGGGAACTTGCATGTTTTCGAGTGTGTTCTAGGAGGGGCAGGGTTATCTACTAATTCTTTGCCAGTATACGTGGACAACACACACATATACACGTAACATGATTTTAAAAATATTTGTATTATTTTATAAAGAGTAATGGCTGTACATATATACTTATGAGTACATTGTTTCCTTGCTACAAAATCACACTTATTTATATACTTTTTTATGGTAATTCTATTTTGGCAAAACCTCATTCTATTTTGAATGATGATTTTAACATCATTGTATAATATTTATCTTCCACAGAAAGTTTTTCCCTTTCAACTATGTACAAAAATGATCATGATTAATGACTCCTACACAGTCCTTTTTTTGGCAATATTCTTTGCTCAGGTGAAAATCAAATAGACTAACACTGTGACAGAAAAAACCTTATAGATATAGAATCATTTCATTACCCTGACACTACTTAAATTACTGTAGAATGGTCTTGAAGTGTGTAGTGAACAGCAGTAAAGTACTTTAAACATTAAAGTATTAAACTAAGAAAAGCTGAATATTATGAAAGATTTTTACTATGAGAGGAAATCATGACAACCTTGTAAGTTACAAATTAGGACTGATTCACAGGGTTTTCCTGACTGAACCGCCAGCCTTCTTGTAAATAGTCCAGTGCTTAACATTTTGTGCCACTGTGAGTCAAAACTGACTTCATACCAATGGATTCTTTTTTTTTTTTAATATGGGAAATAAATTGGTTTGGACTTAATAATTTTAAAATTAATATTTGAAAAGTAGATGTTTAATATTGACTAGCATTATGTATTAATGAGAGAGGAAGTATTTAAAAGATTGGGGGGAAAGGAAAATTAATAAATGTTCACATAATTGAGGTGTTTTTTATATTGTTGTTATAAACATTTAAAACCAGAAAGCATTTGCATTTGGTAGGTAAATTGTTCAAAATTACAACAAATTATATATCTATTTCCTTCTGTAATAAATATAAAACCCAGCGTACTGCACTCAAGTAATTCTGACTCATCGCAGTGCTGTCCACACATGTAGAACGACTCCTCCTATGGTTCCCAAGACTAGCTCTACAGGAGCAGATAGTTGCATCTTCTCCAGGCAGCTTGAACTGTGGATATTTGTTTCCCCATTTTATTGTTTTCTCTTTCCTATTAATGTTTTTATGAAATTCTTATGAATATTTTTCTTAGCATCCTTGTTATATATTAGTAGCATAATTATGAGAAAGATAAAACACTTGTCTCTTTTTTAGCATTATAATAATTTTACCACTTCTTTCACCTAAGGAGCCTGGTGGCATTCTCTGGTTTAGGCATTGGGCTGTTAATGGCAAGGTCAACAGTTCAAACCTACCAGTTCAAACCTCAGGAGAAAGATGAGACTCCCTGCTCCCCAAAAGATTTACAGTCTAAGAAAACTTTTTCGTTATTGATTTGCTATTGCTATGAGTCAGAATGGCAGTACTGTATATACTCGAGTATAAATAAGCCAAGGCACCTAATTTTACCACAAAAAACTGGGGGGCTTTTTTAGCATAAAAACTGTGTTGAAAAAAATTCAGCTTATACTCGAGTATATAGGGTGTTTGGGTTTGAGTTCACTGTTGATATCTTTCACAATACCAAGAATCTATTTTCAGTCAAGGAAACTTCATATATTATTTACTGTAAATGATAAATATGGTTATAATTCTATGATTTTCTATTGTAGTTTTTACCTGTAGTGATATTTCTTCATTTTGCGAATAGAACAAGGGAATACTGCTTGGTTTAAATTCAGGAAAGGTGTGCATCAGGTGCCTCTCACCATACTTGTTCAATCTGTATGCTGGGCAAATAACCAGAGATGCTAGATTATATAAAGAAGTGTGTGGCATCAGGATTGGAGGAAGGCTTATTACATCTATGGTATGCAGGTGACACAACCTGTGCATGCTGAGAGTGAGGAGGAATTGAAGCACTTGCTGATGAAGATCAAGGGTTGTAGCCTTTAGTATGAATTCCAACTCAATGTTAGGAAGACCCAAATCCTCACAATGGACTAGTAGGTAACATCATGTTAAGTAGAAAAAGGTTGAAGTTGTCAAGGATTTTGCCTTGCTTGGAACCACAATCTATGCGCATGGAAGCAGGAGTCAAGAGATCAAAAGACCTATTGCATTAGATAAATCTGCTGCATAAGATCTCTGTAGAGTATTAAAGAGCAAGGATACTATTTTTTTAAATTATTTTATTGAGGGCTTGTACAATTCTTATCACAGTCCATACATACATCCATTAAGTCAAGCGCATATGTACACCTGTTGCCCTCATCAATCTCAAAACATTTACCCTCTACTTTAGCCCTCAATATCGTTTGTTCATTTTCCCCCCTCCCTCCCCCCTCCCCCTCCCTCCTGAACCTTTCAAAATTCATAAATTATTATAGTTTTGTCATAAGTTACACTGTCTGACGTCTCCCTCCGCCCCCTTCTCTGCTGTCCATTCCCCAGGGAGGAGGCTATACTTAGATTCTTGTAATTGGCTCCCCCCTTCCATCCCACATTCCCTTCACCCTCCAGGCATCGCCCCTCACCACTGGTCCTGAAGGAGTCATCTATCTTGGATTCCCTGTGTTTCTAGTTGCTATCTGTACCAATATACATCCTCTGGTCTAGCCAGATTTGCAAGGCAGAACTGGGATCATGATACTGGGGGTAGGAAGCATTAAAGAACTAGAAGAAAGTTATATGTTTCATCGTTGCTACCCTGCACCCTGATTAGCTAGTCTCCTCCCCAAAACCCCTCAGCAGGGGGGTGTT